CAAATTCTTTTTTTGTTTATATGTTTTTGGCACTGGGGATCGAACTTGGAACCTTGCACTTGTGAGGCAGGTGGTGGAACTACTGAGCTAAATCCCCAGCTAGATATCAAATTCTTAACCCAGTTCTTGGGACCTAGGAGACAACTGGTAAGTTTGCTACATGAAAATTGGTTCCATGAAAATTGGTTCCTTGACAGGAGAATAAGAAAAGGAAAACAGTAGGGATAGCCAAGGGGGTTAGCGTGCGGACTGCCTGGCAGATATTAGACGCCTATTGTCCTGGGAGGGGGTCTAAAGGCTGGCAGGAGGCAGGCATTCTTTTTTCCCCAGTGCACCTGGAGCCTCTGCTTGCCAAGCAACAGGACCAGTCCCTAAAACTTCAAACTTTCAGAACCACTGAATCAGAAGCCATGAGTGGCAGGAGACATATGTGGCTGTTCCTTATCATGTGCTCAAGGGTCCAATTCAGAGTGACCTTGAAGCCTGACCTAAAGCAGCTGCCCTTCCCCTCCTCACATTTCCTCTCTATTCCTTCTCTGTGGTCTTTTTTTTTTAAACACTAGACTCCTCTGAAAGCATCTTGCTTATTTGCATATGCACCTCTTTACAGTCTGCCTCCCACATTTACACATAAACAGTTCTTGGCACATAGTAAGTGCTTGGGAAATATTTGTGGAGGAAAGGAAGGAAGGAAGGAAGGAAGGAAGGAAGGAAGGAAGGAGAGAGAAGGGAAGGGAAGGGAAGGAGGGAGGGGAGGGGAGGGGGCGGGAAGAGCTGTGGAACTCAGGGTAGAGAACATCTGGGACTGTATACTGTTAGATGCTATGGGTGCCCCTATGCCACATCTTCCATGACACAATGGACCTCATTTCCCACGCAGACCAACAGTGTCCTACCTCAGGAGCCCACCCTGGTTGTCCCACTCCAAGACTATCTTGAAAGCACTGTTCCCTTGCTCAGCAAGTCTATAGGCACAGAGACTTAGTGTCCCTACCTGGGGTGATTCAAGCCCTGGAGTGACAGAAGTTGGCAGGCGGATGTCTCACCTTCCAGTTCTTTGGGTGAACTATTCTTACATTCATTTTGCATAGTATTCAGAGGCTTCTTCTAGGATTGAGCCCCAACTGTTCACAGCAGTGACCAACTTCTTCTCTATCTTACCCACCTGGCTGCCTCACTCCTACTCCTTGTGAGCACTTCCCAAATAGATTCCTAGCACCCAAGTCTCTTTGGGGCTCTGCATTTTGGAGAACCCCACCCAAGGCAGGATAGATCAATCCATTGCCTTTCAGTAGTTCCCTTTCATTCATTCTCTTCTTGAAGCCCAAATCCATTGGCCCTGCAGTTCCAATTGACTTCTAGAGAAATATCCCCTTCCACCACCCTCTCACCTTATCTGGCAGACAAGCTGACAGGCCTTGAGTTTCTTCCAATTCAGCCCTAGTTCCAAGAAATTTTAATGAAGGGACTTGGCTGGACACTGGAGGGTCCAGATGCTTTGGAGTCAGGAAGGCAGGGATGGGGTGTCACTGAATGAGTCTGAAATGATTAAATCATCTCCTGTCTCCCACGCTCCTCCTCACCTTTTGTTCTGGGGCTGAGATGTCAACTCCAGTACATTATCTTCCCTTTCTCTTCTGCCTCTGCCACTCTGCAGCCATCTCAGCAGAAATACTGAGCTGGGTCAAACAAAACAGCCCAATGTGGGTGCTGAACTTTACAATACACAAAGAACTACAAGGAGCTACTCAGCCTTCACCTGTGCACAAATCATTAGTATTATTATGATTGATGTTGTTTAAATGCAAATGTTTATTCACCTCAGGGAGGTATTCTTTCCCCTCATGCCTTCTCTCTTTGTTTAGCAACAGTAGAGTCTAGTTAGAAAAGTCAAATTCTACCATTTGCCCATTCACCCACACTGGGCTGGTTCTCTGTGTCCTAGCCCTGAGGATCCAAGATGGCATCCTTCCCAGTAGGAGCTCACATTCTAAAGGAAATACAGTGGTCAGGGTCTAACCCAGAAGCACTTGAGTACTTAAAAAGGAAGAACTTTAATCTTGGGAATAGAAGAGCCGAACCACCTGGAGTCAGTGAACCAGCTAAGGTGGTAACAGCAGGAGGCTGCCTCCTCCCCAAGGCTGGAGGGGCAGAAGGAGAAGGTCATGTTCCAGCCTGGGAGAGGATCACCTGGGAGGACATGGGACCCTGAAAGAACTGCAGGCACGCTGGAGACATGAGGGGTCACAGCCATTCCTGGAGACGCTGCCCAAGACCTGGAGAAAAAACACTCAGGCTTCATCCTCTCCCAGCCTTTCATTTTCCCAGTGGCCAAACTCAGCCCTCCTGCAGTGCCAAGCAGAGTGGCAGAAGGATAAGAACTGAGAAAGAAGGGTAAGCAGGCAACATTCTGTGAGAAGTCTCTGGAGTGGTAGGAGCATAGTGCTGCAGAACAGAAGGAAGTACTTGTAACTTTGTCAGAAGTCAGAAAATAGGAGGTCAATTGGAGCTGGACTTTAAGGATGAACAGGAGTTTGCTAAGCATTGAGATAGAGTGCAGTCTAAGTAGCAGAGATAGCACACAACAGTATCCCCTTATCCCATGGGGAATATGTTCCGAGACGCCCAATGGATGCCTGAAACCACAGATTGTACTGAACTTTGTATGTACTGTACTGTTTATTTCTTATACATACATTCCTATGATAATTTAATTTATATATTAGGTACAGAGATTAATAACAATATTCTCAGTTATTATTAACTAATAATAAAATAGAAAATTATAACAGCACCATAATAAAATTGCCAGCATCACTACTTTTGCACTTTGGGGCCATTATAAAGTAAAATAAGGATTACTTGAATGCAAGCACACAATACTGCTACAGTCGATCTGATAACCAAGAAGGCTGCTAAGTGACTAGTGGGCAGGTAGCATATACAGCATGGATAAAGGGATGAGTAATGTCTGGATGGAACCAAGCAGGGTGTCACAAAATGGCTTAGTCCTACTCAGAACAGTGCACATTTAAAATGTATGAAATGTTTATTCCTGGAAATTTCCATTCAATACTTTCAGGCTGCAGTGGATCCCAGGGCACTGAAACTGAGGAACGTGAAGCCACAGATAAGGTAAGACCATGATATAAAAAAGTGTATTAGTGGAGAATGCTCTGGTACTGGCCCCCAGTCCTATACTCCGGCTCCTCTCATAGGACAGTCTTCCCCTCTGGTCCAAATTCTTCTTGCTCCACATGCCAGCCTTCTAATCATCCCACCTGACCCGCAGAGCTGGAAGACACCATCTGATACTCCCTGGCTGACTTGACTCTTGGTAATGAGCCAGAGACTTGCCCTCCTGCTTCATCTTTCCCTCCAGCTGGTGCTCCTGGCAGAGAGTTGCATGTCCTGCCCCTCTGCCCCTCTGTGGACTGGTTCCAGGCTGGACACCTGGGGGTGGGCCTGATGAGTGCATGCGGGATGGATGCATGGATGGATGACCAAGTGGATGGATGGATACAGGAATTAACATATAAACACATCCATGCTATTCTTGATGCCTGGAGTACTCCCCTCCCCTGTCACTGACAGTAACCCTTTCCATTTGTGAACCAGCTTCTGTGGTTAGTAGCCTAAGGGACCTCACTGAATATCTCTAGAAATCCAATAAGGGTCCACCATTATCATTCCCATGTAATAGAAGGAAGCTGAGGCTCAGAAAAGTGAAGCACCTTGCACAGGTTGTCCAGCTCCTACAAGTCAAAGCTGGGATTGAGGTTGGTCCTGCCTAGATGTGTGGATTTGGGAAGGTCTTTTTGTGCTCTGAGCAGAGCTGCTCCAAGCCTGGGTGCTCAGGCTCTGCTAGAGCCTGCTGGCGGTGACCCTTCTACATGATGCCACAATCAGAATTAGCAGAAACAATAAGAGCATCATATGTTAACTAAAGGCTTATCACTTGTCAGGTACTGGGCTCAACACTTGGCATTCTGCATCCAGCAACTCTTTATGCTGAAACTGAGTCCTCACAACACCCCTAAGGTGGAGATTCTTATGCATAAGGAAGCAGAAGCTCAGGAATCAGTCAGTAGTCATTCAGTCAACAAATACACAGTGAGCTCCTCAGTGCTGGGCATCACTTGATGCTAGAGACACAGGGATGACCAGGACAGCCACAGGGTTGTCCTCTTGGAGCTGCCAGGCTGTTGGGAAGAAGAACCCTTGAAACACTAATGAGCAGTATTTGTTTGGCAGCTACACTGGGCAAGGTGCCGTGACCAAGCCCATCCTGGATGTAATGGGAGGTATTTAATAGGAAAACCTGACCTAATCTCAGGAACCAGGAACAGCTTCCTGGAGGAGGTGACCATTAAACTCAGGGTCAATTGTGAGCAGGCATTATTTAGATGCTGTGTTACAAACTGTCAACTCTACAGGACCTGGGATCAAGTCTCTGGCCACAATGCATGGCCAGGATGGGCCAATCCCCCAGCACTCCCACGGCTGTACTCTTGGCCAGGCTTGTGCACCTGGCCCAGCACTGGGCCCACTGGTCCCTCCTAGACCACCTTGATGACAGACCTGTACCGGGCCAAAGCACCTGGGACACACTCACCCCAGCAGAGGCTTGCCTTTTCCTGAACTGCTGCTTGGCACTGAGCATGTCCTCCAGCCTGCTGGCCGCTGGGAGCCTTGGCAGACAGTCAGGAGGAGGCGACCACAAACATGGGACAAAGAGAATTCAATTTCCATTTCACTCTTAGTTCCCTGTTTCCAGTCCAGATGCCTCTAGATCTAATTCCGAATAAATAATTGTACTGAGTAACCCGGGTCCCTTGGTGATTAAGTAAACACGCCGAGGCGGGTGGAAATTGAATTAGTGCAGTGTGCTCAGCCATTATTACCCACCCCTTCTCATGAATATTAATGAGGGGCTATCAAGAAATGTAAATGCTGCCTCAGGGGGTGGGGAGATGAGGAGGGGCTAAGGGCGAGAGGACAGGCCGTTCAGAAAGCAGTATGATTGGAGGCATTTTAAAAATTATGTCAGATCTTTCTCTTCCGTGCCATGGCAATGTTTCCGGAAGCTTCACTTTTATTAAAATGAGGGTAAGAGAACAAATTTTAATTTGAGGATAAAATTAGCATTTTCCAAGCAGCCTTGGCGGCAGCAAGGACATATTTTGCCAGAAAATGGACATTCAGGGCGGGGTGGCGCGAGGTTGGGGGGAGCTGCGGCTGATGGACGATTAGTTCTCTCAGTTCATCTCCAGGCAAGGGAGTAAACAAATTAATCTCGGAGCGGGAGCAGCCTGGAAGATGATGGAAGCCTTAAGGATCCAGCAGCGTCTTTGCTGGGAAACCAGGAGGTACCACAGAGGCCCAGGGTGGCCTTATTGCTGGCTCTGAGAGGTCAGGCTCTGGTCTGAGGTCACACAGTGAGAAGGGGCGCTCCCGCTGGGTTTTGAGAACAAAGGGAAAGTTGGGAATAGTGCTACTTCTCCCAGACAAGCTTTGCCAGGGATGAAGCCTCAGCTTCCCAGCCTATTCTCTTGACCTCCAGGACCCCCCAGTATCACCTCTCTTGCTACAGCTTCTTCTCTTACCTCTCCTTCCCAATCTCTGGTACCAGGTTCATTTGCTCACTTTCACCAGCCCTTGTTTCTGCTCACAACCTTCAGTGACTCACTATCACCCTTGGACTGAAGCTCAGACTCCTCCCTGTGACATTCTGGTCCCTCCAGGATATTACCACAACCCATTTTTCCAGTCCAAGTGCCCACTGCTCTTTGCAGCTGCAATCAGGTGCATCTAAGAAGGTATGAAGGTGAGAAGAAGGAGAATAAAAGAAGATGGGAAGATAAGAAAGAAGGAAGAAAGGAGGGAGGAGGAGGAAACAAATGTTAAGTACCAAAATATTCCAAATTTGCTAATCCTTTATATAACAATGACAATGGCAGTAGTTGCTCTCATTTATTGAGACCAGTCTGCCAGCCACTGGTTCAACACTACTTCACCTGGTGTTGTTCCTATAAAGGAGGCATGGTGATCTCCATGCCACAGAGGGGGAACTGGGGCTCACTGTGTAGAACAGTTTGCTCCAGGTCATGTATGTCATAAATGATAAAACCAGTCTGTTGGACATCAAAGCCTAAATTCTGAACTACTGCACTTCCCACCAACAGTAAACATTGTCCCCATTTTGCAGGTGAAGATGAGGAGGTGCAGGGAGATAGTGATATGCCCTGAGGTACTGGGGGTAAAAACCAAGCAGAAACCAGGAGCATCAAAGTTCTGGGAATCAGCTTTACTCCATCTCTATCAACACCTGCTCTGGAGAACACAGGTAAGATCCACTGAGCAGCCTGGTCTCTGCATCCTGCAGACAAGGGTGCCAGCCACACAGGCTGTCAGAGACCCAGTCACACTGTGCTCTGGACAGTGTCCCCTAGATGAGTCCTGGAGGTTGATCCCATGGTTTCCATAGACATCCTTGCCCAGGCCATGAACCTCACACCCACCCAAATTAGCCCAGCCATTGGGCCCAGGGATCTAGCTGGCCTCTATGCTCTGGGCAGGAAAGAGTGAATATGATCAAACTCATGCATTTAAACAACTTCTTCAGCATGGCTCCACCACTCTACCCGCTCCAGGAATAAAGGCTGACAGGTGCAGCTGAGTTAATCAGGGTGGATAATAGAAGAAAAGACAGGAATTGCTGGCCAAATTGCAGCAGAGAAAAATGGGGCAAAATCATGAGACGCAAGTCAAAAATGTCCAATTAAAGTGTGATGATGCTTAAAGGGCAAGAACTACATTCTCAGCCCCTGGGAAGTTGTACTGTGAAACCACAGGGGATCCATGGACCATGGACCAGTAGCACAGGAGATCATTTTTGGTGGCATACAGATGAACTTTTAAAAATTTGAACAGATATTTTAATGTGTATTAGAAAACTATAACTAGCATATAAAACTGTTAATTTAATGGATATTACTGCTGAGAATGAGTCTAAATTTTACCTAAAGCAGGTATTTAATTGCTAGTCTATTAAGAGAAAAAATTTTAATTTTATAGATGAAAGAAGAATATGGCAAAAATATGAAGCTGGCTCTTCTATGACCAAATCTTAGGAAACAATATTTGAATTCCTTGTTACTCAAAGAAGGCTCCAACAGTTAGCAGCATCAGCAATACCCAAGAGCTTGTGAGAAATGCAGAATCTTAGGATCTTCCCTAGACCTACTAAATGAGAGCCTGAATTTTAACAAGATTCCCTGGTGATTTATATACATGTTCATATATACACATTTTTTTAAAGTACAAATCTACCTTATTTATCAACAGGACAATAAAGACCCTTTTAGACTTGGTCCTAGGGAAAGAGCCCTGGGATCATTCCAGCCATAACACTCTATGTCTCTAAAGAGTTTACAATCACATAAGTACAGAAAAGAAAACCAAGGTCCAGAGAATACAAGTTCATGGTTGTAGCATATGATGCATGAACATTGCTTCTGACTCAATCTAGGTCGCCCAATATCTTGGCTAATATATGAAGGGATTATAGACAAATTGCTTTCAATAATGTGTGTGGCTTTAAGGAAAATGATGGTTGAAGGTGCTGCAAGGAAAGAAAACTACAGGCCACTTTCTTTCATAAATACAGATGAGAAATCCTCAACAAAATCCTAGCAAAGCATATCTAGCAACATATAAACAGGATTACAAATATGATCAAGTGGGATTCATAACAGGAATGCAAGGTTGGTTCAATATAAGGAAAATCAACTAATGTAATACACCCTATGAATGCAATAAAGAACAAAAACTACATGATCATTTCAACAGATGAAGGGAGAGCATTGGACAAAATTCAAAACTCTTTCATGGTTAAAAACAAAAAAATAGGAACTGAAAGGAACTTCCTCAATTTGATGGAGGCCTGCCGCAGAGGAGCTGCAGTCAATGTTGATGTAGGGTAAGAAGGGGAGATGTCCTGGGCCGGCGATGAGAAAAGAACCTTCACAAGCAATGTTCAGGCTCCCTCTCAGAAGTCTCAGGGTCTGATTTATTTTTATATCTTTAAGCAATAGCTAGGAGGCATTGGGCGGAACATGTTTACATTTTAGGTTGCCTTAGCAATATCTATTGAAGTAAAGGCTATTTTTTGCTAAACAGAGTATATTTTTTCTAAGCTGATTCATTTCATTGAACATCATGAATACATTTTTAAAAATTACAATTGTCCCCTTATTTTCCCATACCTAAGCAGAACAGAAGGTAACTTAATCAAAATCTCTATATCAGTGGGGGTATAAGCAAGATTTAATTAATTAAATGTCAAACTTGTGGTCGCCACCTGGCCCTTGAGAAACTGCACAATGGTTAATATAGTTTGCTATTAGCTCTCTATTTTTCTATACCTCTATTCATCTTAACTAAATGTCATTTAGGTTCATAGTCCATGAGCAGGAGATATTTACAGCACTTTGAGAAATACTGAGTAACTTGCCCCCTTAATGTATTTACCTGTCTTAACGTTCTTTCTATTTCCCATTTCCCACTATTTCTTCCATCTAAAGTCTATCCTTCCAATCTCTTTATAAGACCCCTTTAGTAAAAAGAATGTCAGCAACAAGAGAGGGAGTTACAGTAGTGGGAAAACAGAGGGAGTTTTAGGAGAGGTTTCTTTAGGAGTGGATGTGGCAATAGAACTAAGAGAAACTGGAATTTGCCTTGTGAGCCAGATCAGATTTCAATACATCATTGCCAATTTGCCTCTTGGAGAGTTTGTTGTTAGTCATAAACACAATGACTCCTGTGATCAGAGTAATAATTATAAACATTATGGCAAGAAAAAATAAAACATGAGGGTATGATGTGTTCCACCCTTTCTTTCCCCCAGCTGGAACTTTGTCAAGCAGCATTGGAGGTCGGTTGGGCTTCGCCAGAGGCCATCTACAAAAATATACACCCAATATACTAATGTGCTTACATGCATTTTCCTTCCAAGATCAGGAATAATACAAGGATGTCCACTCTCATCACTTTTATTCAAAGTTGTGTTGGATGTCTTAGTCACAGCAAGAAAGTCTTAGGCAAGAAAATAAATAAATAAAAGGTACCTGGATTGGAAAAGAAGTAAAACTATCTCTGTTTGCAGATTATATAAACTTGCATGTAGAAAATCCTTAGAAATCTTTAAAAAACAATTAGAACTAATAAATGAATTCAGAAAAAAATAAAATAAATGAGTTCAGCAAGGTTGCAAGATGCAAGATCAGTATATAAAATGCAATTGTATATCTGTGAACAATACAATACAAAATGAACAAACCAAAACTGAATTTAAGAAATGAACAGCCAGGCATAGTGGCACACACCAATTATCCCAGCATTTGGGAGGCTGAGGCAGGAGGATTGCTGCAGGTTTGAGGCCAGCCTGGGCTACATAGTGAGTTCAAGGCCAGCCTGAATTATATAGCAAGACTTTGTCTCGAAAGAAAGAAAGAAGTGAACAATACAAATAATGAGGAATATAATGAACACAACAATATTAAACTTAAGAAAATAATTCCAATTCCATTTACAATAGCATCAAAAAGAAAAAAATCCTTAGGAATAAATTTAATAAAAGAAGTGCAAAACTTATAGTCAGGAAACTATAAATTATCATTGAAAGAAAATTTTAGAAAACCTAAATGTGATGAAGTGTGATATGTCAGTGTGACTTGAATAAGAACCACCTAGCAGATTAGTAAATTCTGGGTTTGTGGATGACTGACATGTAAATTGGCAAACTGAATGGGGAAGACTCAACTTGAATGTGGGTGGCACCAACCAATTAGCTTATATCTTAAACAGAATAAAAAGGAAAAGAAGAGGGAATGTTTTCTCCTTTTTTGCCTTTGGATGTTGATTTCCAGTTTCTTCAGCCTTCCAGTGCACTCTTCAGCTTTCTAAAACAACTTGCGCCGGTGATTCTACAGTGACCTTCCAGGACTTCAAATTTTTTTTTTAGGTACTGAGGATCGAACTCAGGTCCTTGCACTTGCACAGCAGGCGGGGAAACCACTGAGTTAAATCCCCAGCCCTCAAATGTTTTTATTTTACAGAAACTGCTAGAAGCATTTTGAGTTGATTCAGGATATTGAGGCAATCTTAACAAACCAACTAAAGACATGAACCAGAGCTGTTTCCAAAAAAAGTGGCAAGAATGATGGATAAGTATGCTAGAAGCAAGGGCGAATATTTTGAGGGGGATAAATGGCAATTTTTTAAAACTTTAATACACTTTTAAAAAATGTAAACATTCACCATGTTTTGACTCACATTTCATAAGCTTAATCAAAACTAAAAACATTTGTGCTACAAATGACATTATGAAAAAAGTGAAAAGCCCATTGGATGGAAAAAAATATTTGTAAATCATACATCTGATGAGGGACATGCACTCAAAATGTATAAAAAATTCTTACAACTCAAAAATAAAATAAATAACTCAGGGGAGAGGGATTTAGCTCAGTGGTTTCGCCGCCTGCTGCGCAAGCGCAATGACCAGAGTTCGATCCCTGGTACCAAAAATAAATAAATAAATAAATAAATAAATAAATAAATAACTCAATTTGCAAAGTGGCCAAAAGATCTGAATAGGCATTTCTCTAAAGAAAACATACAACTGGCTAACAAGAACACGAAAAGTTACTCATCAGGGAAATGCAAATTAAAACCACAGCACACCATTTCACATCCACTAGGATGTGAAATAATAATAATAACAGGCAGATAATAACAAATGTTGACAAGGATATGAAGAAACTGGAACCCTCATGTGCTGCTGGTAGAATGTAAAATGGAGCAGGCACTTTGGAAAACGGTGTGTTGGTTCCACCAAACATTAAACAGAGTTTCCCTATGACCCAGCAATTGCAACCCTAGGTATATACCTATGAGAAATGAAAACACATTCACACAAAAATGTGTACACAAATGTCTATAGGAGTATTATTTATAATTATCCAAAGTAATAACCTATATGTTTATGAACTGATGAATGGATCAATAAAATATGGTATAGGCATATAGTAAAATATTGCTTGGCAATAGAAAAGAATACAGTACTGATACATGCTACATTAAGTGTCATGAAAGAAGCCAGTCACAGAAAATTGCATATTGTGAGATTCCATTCATATGAAATGTTTAGCATAGATAAATCCATAGGGGTAGGAAGTAGACTGGTGGCTGCCTAGGGCAGGGAGATAGGGGGAACTTGTTGGGTGGTGGGGAGGAAATGGGAGCAACTCCAAATGGGCACAAGGTTCTTTTTAGAGTAATGAAAAT